CCCCAAGAGGAATATAAGAGAACTTGATGCCTCTTTTTACATCCTTTGGATTTCAAGTGGGGAGGAGACAGTTGAGGAGAAGGCTTAAGATGATTCACTAAGGCCAGTCAGTGGTACAGCCAAGGACCTCGGGAGCCATCACTCATGTCACTGTAGCCTCTCCTTTTCCCCTGCCCCCTCACCTGCACCTCCTTATCCACCCATCTGACCCCCTGGTCATTCTTTAGTGTGGACCATCAGACTTGTTTTTTGGTTTTTGGTTTTTTTTGGCTGCGTTGGGTCTTTGTTGCTGCACGCAGGCTTTCTGTAGTTGCAGCAAGCGGGGGCTACTCTTCCTTGCGGTGCGCAGGCTTCTCATTGCAGTGGCTTCTCTTGTTGTGGAGCACAGGCTCTAGGCACGCGGGCTTAAGTAGGTGTGGCATGTGGGCTCAGTAGTTGTGGCTCGTAGGCTCTAGAGCACAGGCTCAGTAGTTGTGGCGCACGGGCTTAGTTGCTCCGTGGCATGTGGGATCTTCCCGGACCAGGGCTCGAACCCATGTCCCCTGCATTCGCAGGCGGATTCTTAACCACTGTGCCACCAGGGAAGTCCTGGACCATCAGTCTTTTCTCAGTTTTAACTCAAGTGCTTTGCAGAAGCCCAATTCAGACTGCCCTTGCACACACGCCATGCCTTGGCCTGCCGCTGACTAGCATCGCAGCTGAAGAGTTCGAGTCTTCCAATTCACTGTGCTCCCACCTAGCCCGTGCTTTGAGGGGGCGCAGAGTAGGCATAGGGTGCTGCACAGAGAAGATAGGGTCCCAAACACATCCTTTGCCCATTTCCTGTGACTTACCAGTTGGCCTTGGAAACCGCTGTGCCTTAGCCATGTTTGTCTCTGGAGCATTAGATCTTACCTTCCGCGTTTCATTCCTCAGCCCAGAGGAATCTGAGAGGGAGAACGGTGGGCTGTCTGGCCAGCACGTGGTCAGGGAAGGGAGTGGGTGTTGGGAGGCCCAGCAGCTCCCAGGCCCCCCAGGTCTCCGTTGCCTGTTCTGCTCACATCAATGTCCAGTCCCTGGACCAAGCATCACGGAAAGTCACTACTCTGTCCCCACGAAGAGAAGTAAATGTTTGTTCATCTCTGAGACAGTGGGTGGGCGTGGAAAAAATGCAGCATGGTAAATATAAGAGTAAAGTTATGTCCACGGGACAGAAGTGCCGCTTCCAGGATGAGATATTTCTGAGCTGGGTGAAGGGACCACAGGCGGGTGGAATCTGATTTGGGAGCCCCCAAGGTAGGAAGGCACTTCTGAAGCTCCACAGAGGGTCCAGAGCCAAAGCATCTCCTGTCGACTCTCACCTCACCCTGCACCCGACCCCGTCCCGGGGAGGTTGGGTCTGGTGCCTTGAAGACAGACCTAAGGCACTAAAATAATTTACTTCTTGGAACCTGAGCCAGGTGAACAAAGGGGTGGAGAAGACTCCAGCTTCTCTTTAGTCGGGGAGCCTGGTCCTCTGAGCCAACAGCATACTCGAGCCTTTGTCTGTCTGCAGCTTGTTTTATTTTTATTTTTATTATTATTATTTTTTTGCGGTACACGGGCCTCTCACTGCTGTGGCCTCTCCTGTTGCGGAGCACAGGCTCCGGACATGCAGGCTCAGCGGCCATGGCTCACGGGCCCAGCCACTCCGCGGCATGTGGAATCTTCCCGGACCGGGGCACGAACCCATGTCCCTTGCATCGGCAGGTGGACTCTCAACCACTGTGCCACCAGGGAAGCCCTGCAGCTTGTTTTTAATGCCTGGCCCCATGGGCTCTTCTTACTCCTCCTGGAAGGAAGGTGGTCTTGAGGGCGGCTGGCTCAGCTCCCCGGCGGGAATGGCCCACCTGGGGCCGCCCATTTCCATGGACTTAATAGAACGGGCTTGGGCTTCCTCCTGCAGCTGGAGCTGGAGGCGAGGACCCCTGCCCAGCCTCACCATCCCGCTGCTCCGGAGCTGTATGTGTCCTCTTCCTCTCTTCTTTCTTTCCTCCAAAGAATCTCTTATAAACTTCCTTTTTTTTTCTAAGAATAACTTACATCTCCTTTGGAGCAGAAAGCTCCCCTTTCATGTCTGCCAAAAAGCCAGGGTCACTTGGATTTGAAGTGTCTTTAACGAGTCCAGGGTCCCTGGACCAGGACTCCTTACTGCCCTCCAGCTGTTTCTACATTCTCCTCTGACTCTCCGGGGTGGGCATCCTGTCTGGAGTGCAGGCCAGGTGGGAGGGCTCCGCCCCACCCACTCCCAGGGGCCTCTGGGTCACTGAAGAGCAAACGCTGAGTCGATGCTTACCTTGACGTGAACGCCTGTCCGGGTACAGCTACAAGTACCCCAGGTGTCTCGGCCTTGAAGTGTTTTTGCGTGTCTCTTGTTTGTGAGTGTTCTGAAGTTGCTGCAGATGGATTTGATTGTTTGTTTTGTTGAAGTGATTCTGCAGAGGGAACCCTGTAACACAGCCTGTCTGTGTCACACACTTGGGGGGTTTCCTTCACAGGTCTTCAGGGCACCTTACGCCTGGATTTGGGGTGCTTGCAGGGACTGGTAGAAACTGGGGTAGATCTGCCCAGAGACACGCGGGCTTTGGTGGCTTCTGCATGGGACCTGGGGCATGTATGTGTGTGTCTCCACACAGAGGGGACAGTGGCTAAGAGTGCCCTGACTTTAGTGTCGTTCAGACCCGGCTTCAGTTCACGGAGAATTCGATTTCTGGTCTACTTGCTGGTTATGGGCCACGTTCCCTGATCCCCAAACCCCAGTTTCCTCATCTGTTTTGTGGGGATAAATGTCCTGCCTTCTCTTAAAGGAATCAGTGAGTGTCAGGTGCTTCAGGTAAGGTCACACTGGGACTGCTAACTGCTGTCCTCATCTCTTTGCCCCCCCTTTCCTAAACCCATGCAGCCCTCCTCCCCTTTGTTTTAACAGTACAGCACACGCCTTAGACAAATCACAGTGTGGTCGGGTGGAGAACAGCTTTCTTTGTACAGTGGGGTTTAGCTGTTTTGGATAAGGTCCACCCTACTAACTATAAGTTAACTTTTGGGTCTTGGTGGAGACTTGAGAGCTTTTAGTTTCAGAGTAGCACTTGTACAGACTATCGTTTTTGCTGATGCCTAATCCATTCATTTGTGTGACTCAAAGTATATTCACTGAAGAGTGATGGTTTATGTCTCCAGATTCTGTGCGTGCCCCACATGTGGAACCTAAAGCCTGGAATGTCCCGGGTATGCTTGTGGTCGGGGACTTGTGCGATGTAGGCGTGGAGTAAAGTCGGCCACTGTGCTTCCATTGGCAGCTTAATATCTGAGAGGGAGTCAAAGTGGAGGAGCCCTGCCAATTATAAGTCTTACGATAATCATAGCCATGTTTTATCGAGCGCTTTCTTGAGTCTAGTCCCTTGCCAAAGCTCATGTCGTTAAATCTTCACAATAGTCCAGTGAGGCGGGTACAGATTTTATAGATGAGAAAACTGAGGTGTGGAGAGAGAGGCTACGTAACTTGGCCAAGGTCACTGCTGGGAAGCAGCAGTGTGGAAATTCAAGCCAGGTCTTCCTGACCCTAAAGGCCATGGTACGCTCTGTCACCGCTCTGGGTGATTGTAGAATGTTGACTCTGGTTACATAACTTGCCCAAGATCACACAGCTGGTAAACGGCAGAGTCAGGATGCAGATAAGCCTGCTCTTAACCCCTTTGCTCTGGTTCCTCTGTCCCAAGCGAGGTCGGGGAGATGGAGTGATCCACGTGAGGCATCATGCCAGAGCCCCGGGTGCCCCGGGGAGGCATGGGAATGACTACAGTGCCTGGGCTCCTAGGCCTGGATTAAATAGGAGGCTCATTTTCCCCTCCTGGTGTTTGTTTACTTCACAAGTTTAAATTATAACTATACTAAGGGAAATGATTAACAAAAGAAAACTCATCCATCCTGCTACTGGAAGGTTTCATTTTTTCTCTGTTCCTTCTCAGTTCTTAACTCTGATTACATAATTGTTCTGCTTCTTTATTTAACATTAAACTCACGATTCTCCTTTTTATAGCTGCATACTATTGCATGAAATTGATGTAATCCACTTGACCACAACACATCTTTCTGCCAATAGCCTTTTTATTTTTGGATTGCTTCTCTTAGTGTAAATTCTAGAAGTAGAGTTATTAAAGGATTTAAATACATTTATTATCATATAACTTTTCCAGAGTCATATTATGTATACAGCCCCCAGAAGTATGTTATTCTGTTGTTTAACCTCACTAACATTTGGTTTTATAGCTTTTTTTAAAAATGTGTTTTGCTATTTTAATAAGTAGCAAAGTAGCACCCTCCATCTTTTAAATTTGTATTCTTAACAAGCCGGGGAGACTGAGTATTTTTCATGTTGGTTCCCTAATTTAGGTAGTATAGAAATAATCCTTTGGCATGTTTGATGGTGTATAATTTTTCCAGTCTGTTTCTTATCCCCCCTCTTTAAGTGGTGTGGTGTTCTTTTTTTTTTTTAGATTTTCCTTTGGAGAATTTCAAACATATACAAAAGTAGAGAGAATAGTATCATGGATTCCCACCTACCCATCACTCAGTTCCAACAATTATCAACTCATGCTCAGTCTTGTCTCATCTGTACTCTAATGCAAATATCCACTCCTTGGTTATTTTGAAGCAAATCCCAAGTAAGATATTTAATCCATGATGATTTCAGTATCTCTCAAAAGATAAGGACTTTAAACACCCATAGTTTTTCTGTACTTTTTTCTTTTCAAATTTGGTCAAACCTATTGAATTTGTTTTTTTATCTTCTGTTTCAAAAGAAGGATTTTTCTCAAAAGCTAGGCAGAGGCCTTATAGAAGGGGTGAAGGGTCAGTTTTGACACCAACTGGATTCAGAGTCTGAAGAGAGACCCTCCTGTTTGGAGCACAGCTGATGGGTCTGGTGTGGAAGGAGAGGATGGGTGTCCTAAGCCTTGCCCTCACCTGGCTTTCTCCTCTTGCAGCCTCACCTGTCACCATGAAGCTGCTGCACCCAGCCCTCCCCAGCTGCCTCCTGCTGGCTCTGCTCGCTGTGTGGACAGCTGCTCCTGAGGTTCATGCCGTGTCCGTGGGGACACCCGCCATCAGCGCAGCCTCTTTCTTGCAGAACCTCATGCATCGCTACGGGGAGGGCGACAGCCTCACCCTGCAGCAGCTGAAGGCCCTGCTCAACCACCTGGACGTGGGAGTGGGCCGGGACAACGTCTCCCAGTCCGTGCAGGGACCGAGGAACCTCTCGACGGTAAGGCTCCCTGGCTCTGCCCAGCACCATCTCTGTCCTTTCGAGGTTCCCAATCTAGTTGGGGGCAGGCGAGCCTTGATGACAGAGCAGAGGAGCCAATTCTTCCCCTGCGGTCGGGATCAGCTAGTCTGAGTCTCCAGCAGCACCTCCCAGCCTCCTACATGGGTGTTTTGAAGCCCTTAGCAAAGGGCAGCCATGAAGTAGGGGCTCTCAGCCCTCCAGACCCTTCCTCAGAGCCACACTGGGATCTCCTGGAACTGCTGGTAAGCTGGAGCTCCCGGGTCAGCTAATATTTCTTATAGAGTTTCTGCAAAGCCCTTTGCCCGTTATCCTAGGTGAGCCTCAAAGCACCTCTACGTGCAGGTGGCAGATCTTCATTATATCCTGTATATACTGAGATACTAAGGGACCCACAGTGAGTTCTGGAGGGACCAGGATTAAGACTCAGTCAGGCCTTTTGGCTCCTGGTTCTCTGTTCTGTCTTCCATATCTTCTTGGCTAATCAGAGTCTGAGGCTGTGTGTGTCAGCCAAATGTAAGTCAGCCAGCAACGTCTTTGCATATCTACTTTGTTCCCTGTGCTGAGTGTGGCGAGAAATAGAGGAAAATGAGTCATGTTTAGGGAGTTTACTGTTAAGATGGGGAGCTCAGCCAACCAAGAACAGAGTTAACTGATATTCAGATGAAGTGCTAGTTGCTGTGGCTTGGATAGTCATTATAGGATTCAGAAATGAGAGAAGCGGGTGAGTGTGCCCTAGATGGTCAAGGAAGCTTCTGTGTGGGGTGTCCTGGAGCTTCGCCTTGAAGGAGAGCGGAGTTTGGAGGGACCGAGTCGCTAGGCTGGGGGAGCCATGTGGCGTGTATGCAGAACCACAGGGGCGTGGTGCACGTCTGAGTCGGAGGGGTGGCTGCCTTGGGGGGCTCATGCAGCCTGACCCCAGAGGCCTCCCGGCTCAGCAGCAGGATCTTGGGGTCACTGAGTCCAGCCCCCAGCATTTTTTTTTTTTAAGATTTTTTTGATGTGGACCATTTTTAAAGTCTTTATAGAATTTGTTACAGTATTGCTTCAGTTTTGTTTTTTGGTTTTCTGGCCGCGAGGCATGTGGGATCCCAGCCTCCCTGACCAGGGATTGAACCCGCACCCCCTGCATTGGAAAGCGCAGTCTTAACCACTGGACCCCATGGAAGTACCAGGCCCAGAAACCCTCACTCGTCGGCACTCCCAGCGGGCTGGTTCCCTCAGAGACAGAGCCACGTAAAACCAGACTCAGCGAAAGACTGACGTGTAACTGTTTAATTAGAAGTAGAATGGCAGTGTTTCATGGGAACGGTGTGTGAGAACCACTTAACCTGATGCTTCCCAAGGGAACTCAGAGCTCATGCCCACTGGGCAGCCCACACTTGCTCCATGGCAGACCCTGAGTCTTCAGATTTCCCCCCACTTCCTTTCCCAATCTCTGCCAACACATCCTGCAGTCTGGGGACATTACTGTATATGGTCCAGGAGACTACTGTTCCTCTTAGACACCTGTGCTCAATAGCTCTGGAGAAGTATGTGAAATCTGTATTTTACTGTCATAGCTCCCTGGGCTGTTGTAATGTGGCCAGATTTGGTATCTGGGAGAAGCTGTATCTTCAGGTATGCACATAGAGGTATGTTCCCCAGAAGCCACACCCTGGTCATAATGATTGGAATTCGGTTGTTCCCAGAACTTCTAGGTAGCCATTTACAGATGGGTGAGTGGAAGGTATGTATGGGTGGCTGATCTCTAAGATTACTTATCAGTCTTTCAAGTTTAGGGACGACTTTGCTCTCATCCTTGGACGTTAGTCTGCAGGTTCCGTGAAATTTGGACAGTTGCATCTTCTGTTTTCCGTCTTGGAAGGCTCATCAGGGGCAAGGTGTGACTTTGGGTCCTAAGAAGCTTTCTGCCCCTCCCACTTGGTTTCAGTGCTTCAGTTCTGGAGACCTCTTTGCTGCCCACAACCTCAGCGACCAGTTGCGGATTGGGGGGCGTGAGTTCCAGGAGTTCTGCCCCACCATCCTCCAGCAGCTGGATTCCCGGGCCTGCTCCTCCGAGAACCAGGAGAATGAGGAGAACGAGCAGACAGAAGAGGGGAGGCCCAGCTCAGTTGAAGGTGAGCCAGCACGGGAAGGCAGGGCCTGGTGTCCGTGCTTGTCTGCATGAGGACCGCTGGGCTGATCAGATAGAGCTGCCCGCTGAATGTTTGACCGGTTATCATCCTCTTATCATCGTTGGGAGGGGCGAGTTGGAGTAATGACTATACCGGTATCTCCTGTACTCCCAAGACCGGTCCAGCACATTGCCAGGCCGGGCAGCGTGGCTGGTGAGCGTTCCGTCGTGGGGCTTTTGGACCAGCCTCGAGGTGCTCTTTTTGGTCACTTTTCCGTTTTGGTTTTCATTAAACTACCAGGGGGCCAACACCTTAATTTTTTTTTTTTTTTTTTTTTTTTTTTTTTTTAACATCTTTATTGGGGTATAATTGCTTTACAATGGTGTGTTAGTTTCTGCTTTATAACAAAGTGAATCAGTCATACATAAACATATGTTCCCATATGTCTTCCCTGTTGCGAACACCTTGATTTTTGAGTTTAGCATTTAAGGCCTTTCACAGTCTGCCCTCGGCCCACTTCACCCACTTCATCCTCCTCCCCCTCCCCTGCCTGGTACCCCTGCTCCAGCCGCAGTGGTTCACCGTGGCCTGTGTGTGCACACGGCTCCCTTGAGCCTGGATCGACCTTCTGCAATCCTGTCGTGCTGGTGTGAGCAGCCTGGCACTTGGTACCTAGCATGTGCCACCTGTGTCACACCCCACGTCGTTTCCTGCTGTCGTTATTTAACTCCTGTGGTCTATAGCCTTTCATCTGCCCCTCCATCTGAAAGGTAAGCTGCTTTTGGATAGCAGCTTTGGTGTATATTTTTAGGCTTCTCCACAGCACCCAGCAAGAGGTGGACTCGACAAGCATTTACTGATGGGTTGGCAGATCTCTTTCTGCCCCGATTGCCGCTGAGTTCAGAACGGGCTGCCCCCCGGCAGCAAGAGTACCTCCACCCTCAGTAATGGAGGCCCTCGTCTGTTCTTGTTCCTCCACAGTGTGGGGCTTTGGTTTCCTCAGTGTCTCACTGATTAACCTGGCCTCTCTCCTGGGAGTCCTCGTCCTGCCGTGCACGGAGAAAGCGTTTTTCAGCCGTGTGCTCACTTACTTCATCGCCCTGTCCATTGGAACGCTGCTCTCTAACGCGCTCTTCCAGCTCATCCCAGAGGTGCAGTAGAAAAGAAACGTGCGCGTCCTGTCTCCCTGGGGCGTCCCCGCCCCGACCCTGTGCTCCAAGGCACCTGACAGCCGCCACCTGAAACATTAACTTCTTCCTCATGTCAAGGGATGCAAATGACTTCTGCCTCTGGATCTCAAGGGCCTCCTCTCACTCCTGGGGCACCCAGGTTTGCCTCTGGCCTCTTCAGGGGATGTCAGATGCAAGGCTCTCAGCACGTGTCCCCCATGCTGGGGACCTGTCAGCCTCCTTCCCCAGTCAGTGCCTTTCCTAAGCCCTGTCGGCAGGGCTGGAAAGGAAAGCAGCCGGTGGTGGCTGTCCCTGCCCTTGGTCCTCCAGACCCCCTCTGTTCTAAGTAGAGGACCTGGCCGTACTCAGGTGTGGCCACCAAGAGATGATCCACCTGGAATGAAGTGGAAGGAAAGAGGTTACCGACTGAAAAGTTGTATTGACCTAAAAAGTACGTGATCCTTTTTTTTTTAAGCAGGCCCTAATCCACAGTATAGAGGGCCAAACATAGAATCAAGACTATTTAATGAAAAAAGCGAAATCAAAATTACCAAATAAAGGAAAGGGACCCACCGTCCTTCACACCTTGCATCTTGACTTTTTCCTGATAGGACTGACTTCCTGGCACCCTTACTTGACTGTTCTGAAATGTTTGTTGATTTTGTTCTTTAATTGTAACCACTGAGGAGCTAAAAAAAATAAGACCCAAGGTGACAGTCTGCCCACCTGTCAGCTCAGGCAAGGGCGTGCAGTGGGGCGATGGGTGATGTGTGGACCTTCTTTGGGAATGTTGATGGCCGCCTTCCATAGGCAGCTGCCTGGCCTTTCCAATCAAAAGACTGTACGGGATGCCCATCCTTGCCTTGCCTGTTCACTCTTCATGATGAAGAGAGAAATCTGGTTTAAGGTGAACCATCTTGATGCTATGTCAGAATTCCACATGAATCTAGCAAGCACTTCTCAGGGCAGGCCTCATCTTGGGCTACTTTTTTTTCGGCTCCAGAAATTAAATTTATTAATTTTTTTTCAAGATTGGAAATGAAATGCTGTGTTGCCTGTTGAATGGGAATACAATAATGGTACATACTCCGCCCCTGGGCTCACAGGGGAGGCCTCATCCTGGCTCACTTTTGTCCTGCCCGGAGTGTGTGACACTGGGAAATGGTAGAGGAAATATTTTTTGACGGGGTGATCTTGGAACTCTGTTCTCTACACTGCAGCCCTCTCAAAGCAAATGGAAACAAACAAATAAAGCAAAACCTGAGGGAGTTCCCTGGTGGCCTAGTGGTTAGGATTCCGGGTTTCCTGTGCCATGGCCCAGATTCAGTCCCTGGTCAGGGAACTGAGATCCTGCAAGTTTCGGGGCATAACCGAAAACAAAAAGAAAAAACACAACAAGGTCATAGGAAAAAAACAAAACCTGAGATGTTAAGAGAATGGATTTTGTGGCCATCGGGCCTTACTTGTCCGTCCCTTCTGCCCTGCACAGAGCAGACCAGGTGTGGGGAGTGTCCCATGTGCCTGCATAGCGAGGGTCAGACGTGCCAACACGGCAGCCCAGTGATCTGTCAGTCTCTTCCCCTTGCTCTGGTTTCCTGTTCCCTAGAGCTCTCGAGTCCAGAGTCTGCTAGGCAGCCCCTGGCTAGGCCTGAGCACACCTCGGCTACAGGCCAAGGCAGGACCTGCCCTGCCAGGCACAGCAGCTAGCAGGTGGGACTCAGCAGCCACCAGGCAGCAGGGGCGAGAGACGCGGGGTTCCAAGGCCACCACGAGTTCCTCCCCGTTTCTCCTGAGCCGATTGAAGGAAATTTCATTGGACTTGAATCACTAACAAATGTTCTGTTTCTCTCTCCCTCCCTGCTTGTCTCTCTGATTTTTCTTGTTTTGCCTCCTTTGTTAATATCCACCAAAACCCCCTCCCACTCTACCTCCCGCCCTCTCCACCTCTCTCCCTGAATGGTGGCTGCCGTGCCGTGGGGCGTTCGCCCTTGTCCCTGTCCTGGGTGGGGCTGGCTCCCCCTCCCCGGCAGTCTGGGGGTACGGTCTCCTCTGTGTGACCGTCATCTCCCTCTGCTCCCTGATGGGGGCCAGCGTGGTGCCCTTCATGAAGAAGACTTTTTACAAGAGGCTGCTGCTCTACTTCATAGCTCTGGCGATTGGAACCCTCTACTCCAACGCCCTCTTCCAGCTCATCCCCGAGGTATGGCAAGCTAGGGCCCTTGCACAGGAGCACGCCGCCTCCTGGGGGATGGCGGGACACAGTGGGTGGGCCCTCCATCTCCACAGAAGGCCTAGAGAGGAGGTCCTCTCCTTCTGGAAAGTGAAGCTAGGATGTAGGCACGAGCGAGGAGAGGCAGCTTAGAGAAGGCTTTGAGAGCTGGTTCAAATCCCAGCTCCACCGGCCACAAGTTCTGTGCCCTTGGGCAAGTCACCTGACCTCTCTGTCCTTCCGTTTCCTCATACGTAAAATGGGAAGAATAAAAAGGGCGGACCTCAGGGTGATGCAGTGAGGGTTACGTGAGTTAATGTTTCTTAAACACCTGGTGCTCGCTATCTGTTGGGTGAACAGAGGTAGTGTAGTTAGGTCACGTTATGGCTCCCAATTTGGAGCTTTGGGCACCAAAAACAGAATCCGTAGGTCTCAATGAAAAGCTCACTTCTCCTCAGTAGGACATTAAATTCTAAAGACAACCTGTCTTTTTTTTTTTTTTGGTACGTGGGCCTCTCACCGTTGTGGCCTCTCCCGTTGCGGAGCACAGGCTCCGGACGCGCAGGCTCAGCGGCCATGGCTCACGGGCCCAGCCGCTCTGCGGCATGTGGGATCTTCCCGGACCGGGGCACGAACCCGTGTCCCCTGCATCAGCAGGTGGACTCTCAACCACTGCGCCACCAGGGAAGCCCGACAACCTGTCTTTTGCATCAGAAAATAAGCTAGAGAGGTATGAGGATTAAATAATGAGCTCTTAATCCATGGAAGGGCCTTTATATAATAGGTGCGCAGTAAAGTTTTGCTGTTAGCAAAATTAAAAAAAAAGAAGAAGAAGAAAAGAAAGAAAATAAGCTGGAGAGAACCCACCAGTCTGGCCTCACACATGTTGATGGTACCTTTGCCCCTTCGCCTGGGCTAACCAGGAAACTCTCCATGAGAGAGGAGGAGCCCAGTGTTTGTAAGGCTTAGCAGGGCCTTGGAGGAGTTTCTCATCCCATGTGGTCTCTGCGTAGACCTGCTGATGGCAGGAATCCTGAGGCGCTACACTGTGGGTAGTCTGACGGGCCTGGATGAGCCAGAGGTGAAGCAGAAAGATGACGCCCCGGGCTCCTTAGAGCACTTTGTTTTCCAAGATGCGGTTTTGTGTTTTCTGAGTTGATCCTTAGATCACCTCTGTGATGTGTAGGAAACAAGGAATGTTGTACCCATTTAACAGATACAGAATCTGACCTGCACAAGAGCTCGTATCTTAGTGCTTTTTGTGGAGAACTGTTAGTTGCCTCTTTCCACCCCACTTTTCCGTAAGATGATTGGACTCTCCTTGAAAGTTGGCCGGAATGAGTAATTTCTATTCTAGAACTTGACCTTTAATGTCTCTTAGAAAACTACCCTAAGAGATTTCATTTCATCCCTTTAAAATAGAAAAGACAAACACTTAGCTTTTAAGCAGCCCGGAGTTCTTTTATCTGGGACCTATTCACGAGAAGGCTGGCGTTTATTCGAGAGGCCCATTTCCTATCAGAAAACTTAGGAGCAGGTCAGCAGACACTTTCCCAAGGCCCCCCCCCCCCCCCCCCCCCACCAGTCAGGAGCATCACTGAGAATGCAACTCTCCTCATTTCTACTCCTATCTGCTTCCCAATGGATTCTTTTTTTCTTCTTCTTCTTCTTTCTTTTGGCCATAGTAAGTGAAGTTTCCAGAAACCAAGACAAAACCCCCAAAATTGACACGTGCAGTCACACAGTCTGATTTCTTGGCTTTGTGGTCACTGGGAGGTCTGCGGTCAGGAAGATGCCGCAATTCTTACTATTTAACTGGAGAAAGGATTTCCCATTTTAGAAAGTATAACTGTACCATCTCCCTGTGTGTTTACAGGCAGATCAGCCAGGAACGCTATATAACGATGAAAACAAACACGAGTGTCTCCTCCTGAAAGATGGAATCTGCCGGCAGAGTCTGTCCTTGTAGCAAAGCTCCAGGAGAAGTGAAGACAGAGTCCTCATTAAAAGTAGAAAGGCCACATCCAAGGCTGTTCTTCCTGAGAGTAAAATTCTAAAGACGATCTGTCTTTTGCATCAGAAAATAAGCTAGAGAGAACCCAGCGGGTCTGGTGATGTGACATTAGGGAAACATCAAGGGTTAGATTTTTGCTGGAAAGGGATTGAGTACATGGCAGAGTTGTCCCGGTCTCTTCCTTTCCTAGAGTCAGGTGGTTAAAGAGATGAGAGGGGACCAGTGAAGATTTTCTATATTCTTAAACTCATTTTGTTTTCTTGGATCCACAGGCTTTTGGTTTCAACCCTCTGGAAGATTATTATGTCTCCAAGTCTGCAGTGGTGTTTGGGGGCTTTTATCTCTTCTTTTTCACAGAGAAGGTCTTGAAGATGCTTCTTAAGCAGAAAAATGAGGTGAGGCCTAATCGTTGGTAAAAGAAGTGCCTCTAGGGAGAGCATCCATCTCAGAACTGTGTCCGGTGGTGGTGTTACCTCAGTGCCAATCCAGTGAGCTTACCTGGATCCTCCCGCCATGGATTCAAACCCACAAACTATTTCAGGAGTAGATGTCTCACTTCACCTCGGGAGGGTGTTAGCAGTGGGTGAGGGCGAATCATTAGCCATTGCGAGGAGCAGCTGTAAATGTTCTTTGCTGTGCCTCCTGGCAGGGATGAGTGTTGGCCCTGAGGTCACTCCTCTGAGATCCGTCCCGTGGCAGCACCACGTGCCCTTCGATTCAGCTTTCTCCAACACCTTGCCCTAGGTTTCTGTCCTATTGCCTACTTGTGTTTTCTTGGATGGTGGGAGTGAGGTCTTCCCGGTGCTTGGAGCTCCTGCCGGGTGGGTGGTTTTGGTGAGTGTTGCACTGACCCGACCCCTCCCTGTGGTCCCTCCAGCATCATCACGGACACAGCCATTATGCCTCTGAGACGCTCCCTTCCCAGAAGGACCAGGAGGAGGGTGTGACGGAGAAGCTGCAGAACGGGGATCTGGACCACATGATTTCTCAGCGCTGCAGTGGCGAGCTGGATGGGAAGGCCCCTGTGATGGACGAGAAGGTCATCGTGGGCTCCCTCTCTGTCCAGGTCAGTGGGCCATCCACTGCTGGGGGGGGCAGGGGCCCTTAAGTGGTAATGGCCTTGATGACTCGGGCCTACCCTGAAGGTCCGTCGTCCACCCTTTGACAGGGGGGCTTTCTTGCAGGACCTGCAGGCCTCCCAGAGCGCCTGCTACTGGCTGAAAGGTGTCCGCTACTCTGACATCGGCACACTGGCCTGGATGATCACCCTGAGCGACGGCCTCCATAACTTCATCGATGGCCTTGCTATTGGTGCCTCCTTCACCGTGTCTGTCTTCCAAGGCATCAGCACCTCGGTGGCCATCCTCTGCGAGGAGTTCCCACACGAGCTAGGTAAGTGTGCTCACACCCCGCCCCCCAGCCCCTTCCGCTTGTGCCGACTCCTCCCCCCACTTCAGAACACACATTATGATTAATGAACACATTTTCTATGCTATGTGAAATCAAACCACTAATTCTCAACACCTGAGTTAATAATTGAAAATTAATCATCGGACAGGACTTCCCTGGCTTTCTAATGGTTAAGATTCCACGCTTCCACTGCAGGGGGCACGGGTTCGATCCCTGGTCAGGGAGCTAAGATCCCGCATGCTGCACAGCATGGCGAAAGAAAGAGAGAGAGAGGGAGGGAGGGAGGGAGGGAGGGAGGGAGGAAGGAAGGAAGAAAAGAAAATTGATCATTGGAAATGATGGCATTTTTTACTGGGATGGTTGTTTCCCCATAGTCCCATAACCTGTGGCTGTTTCCTCACCTCTACACTGGGCTTAATACTGGTACCTACCTCGTTGATTCATCGTAAAAAGCAAAAGGAAAAAATAGTGAAAAGGACTTACTGCGTGCCGTACGCTATTCTAAGTGCTCAATATAGGTTATCTCTTACATCCTATTAATCTTCCAAAGGCTGAGATGTATGTTAGAGGTCTGGTGGGTAGAAGAAATAGATGAACCAGGGGCTGGAAGGTCCTTGGTTTTATCAGAGGGAGAGTGTAAAAAGCCTAGACTTTTTGAAGGCTCAGACACTCAAGGTCATGTCCTGGCTTTGCCATTTATTGGCTTGTGACTGGGCAAATTACTATTTCTCTCGGTCTCAATTTTGTTTTCGAAAAATACCATTCATTACAGTTTTGAGGAAGGAAGCTCCTTCTGTTTCACCATCAATCAAAAGAGAAATGAGGGCTTCCCTGGTGGCGCAGTGGTTGAGAGTCCGCCTGCCGATGCAGGGGACACGGGTTCGTGCCCCGGTCCGGGAAGATCCCACATGCCGCGGAGTGGCTGGGCCCGTGAGCCATGGCCGCTGAGCCTGCGCGTCCGGAGCCTGTGCTCCGCAACGGGAGAGGCCACAACAGTGAGAGGCCCGCGGACTGCAAAAAGAAAAAAAAGAAAGAAAAGAGAGAAATGAGGCCATTGCTAGATGGTTTTCTCTTTTGAAAATCCTGTGCATTGTTTTCAGCCTCTAGGCTGGTTGTACGCTCCCAGCCTCACAGATGGAGACAGCTCCTCGGCGTGGTGGTGAAGGGGGCCCTGGTCTTGTCACCGTGATCTCCAGTCTGGGGCCATCTTGATTTTCACCCACACTCCATCCAGCGTTTAAGCATGTCCTCATCAAGCTGTGTGTCCCACGACCTAGTATGAATCTTCTGTCCACACCCTCCCCTCTTGTTGTCCCCACCATAGGAGACTTTGTCATCCTGCTCAATGCCGGCATGAGTATCCAGCAGGCTCTCTTCTTCAACTTCCTCTCTGCCTGCTGCTGTTACGTGGGCCTGGCCTTCGGCATCTTAGCTGGCAGCCACTTCTCTGCCAACTGGATCTTTGCCCTGGCTGGAGGAATGTTCTTGTATATTTCTCTGGCTGATATGGTAAGTCTTCCATAGTTTTAATGCCTTGTAGGCAAAACTGGATCGGGTTATGAAATTCGTTGGATTGGGAGGACAGCTAAGGGGCATTAGTTAGTTTTTTTGTTTTTAAAATTTATTTATTTATTTATTTATTTTTGGCTGCATTGGGTCTTTGTTGCTGTGCGCGGGCTTCTTGTTGCAGTGGCTTCTCTTGTTGTGGAGCACGGGCTCTAGGCACGCGGGCCCTAGAGTGTGGGGGCTCAGTAGTTGTGGCTCGTGGGCTCTAGGGCTCAGGCTCAGAGGTTGTGGCACACGGGCTTAGTTCCTCCATGGCATGTGGATCTTCCCGGACCAGGGATCGAACCTGTGTCCGCTGCATTGGCAGGTGGATTCTTAACCGCTGCGCCACCAATAATAACTTTATTGAGGAATCAAGTCACATGCCACACGATTTGTAAATAAAAGTGTACTGTTCAATGCCTTTTAAGGGGACATTAGATTTCAAAGGATGAAAGGCCTATGTTCCTTTAGCATATGTCCTTAAAGAAAATGATGTATCTCAACTCTGGGGTCCTTACTTTAAGTATTACAGAATAGAGACTTATAGATAAAGAATGGGGAAGGGAGGGAAGGAAGGGAGAGGAAATTACCCATAATTATTCTCCCCCAAAATAACAACACTTGGGTTTGTTTCTTTTTCATCTCAATGCATTGTGTTTGTTTTTAAATAACTCTAATCACATGGAGTACACAATTTTATGTCCTGGTTTCTTTTTTTTTTTTTTTTTTTTACTTACTACATCCTAGACATTTTTCATGTTGCATACTCTTTAAAAACATCCTTTTCTCATTATCAGTAGTATTTGGTGAGGGGATTTACCTTCTCCAGAACAAGAATTGCTGGTTCAGAAGGGATGCGTGGTTTGAGGTTTTAATATGTATCGCCAAATTGCTTTCTAAAAAGCTTACCCTCCTTTAATTTACATCATTAGTGGTGTCTGAAAGTGTACATCATACCCGCTAACGTTTGGTATAACCGTTTAAGTAGTTTTGCGTTTGCTAGTTTAATACCTGATTTGTTGCATCTTTATAACTAACAAGGTTGATTTCCTTCCTTGTTGGCATGACGGTTCTTTGGCAGGTTTGCATGAATTATTTTCCGTATCCTCGGAAAGCAGTTTTTTGGTTTTGTTTAATATTTATTTATTTATTTGGTCATGCTGGGTCTTAAGTTGCAGCAAGCGGGCTCCTTAGTTGTGACATGTGGGATCTAGTTCCCTGACCAGGGAACGAACCTGGGCCCCCTGCACTGGGAGCACAGAGTCTTAACCACTGCGCCAGCAGAGCAGTCCCGGAAAGTAGTATTTTTGATGAGATGATGAGAGCACTGACCACCATGGTCCATCCTCAGCCCATGGAAACATCTTAGATTCTCTCCTCCGGTGGGTGGCCCTCCCTGGGGTTAGGGTATTTTTGTCACCTGCCTTGCTGGCCAGCAGCAAGAGGCCTTGAGTCACGGCAATGCTTAGTTCCATTCTCTGGCCCCTTACATGGTTGCTGCGTTTCCCAAACAAGCGACAACATTCTGATAGCAAAAAGACCTTTTGATGTGTTTTTAAAGGTCACAGTAATTTTTAGCAGAGTGGTTATTTTTAGTCCGCATCTAAACACATCCAGGGTTACATGCACGTGTCGTACTTTGTTTCACTTCCATAGCTGTAAAGTAGTGGTAACCACCTTGGAGAAAGGCTCTAACGTTTAAGTTCTAGAAGTTAGTGCTGTTGATTTTCTTTGTAAACCAATCGTATATTATATATTTTAATTATAACTATTATAATCATATATTTATACTAATGATTGTGGTGGCCTTATAATGCAAAAATATAATAGTAGTAAATGTTGTAATAATTGTTAGGTAATATACATATGACTGAATTGTCCTGCACTTAAAGGTTAAGAAAGGAACTGCAGCTCTCGTGTTTTTTTCTTCTTCCCCAGTTCCCTGAGATGAACGAGGTCTGCCAAGAGGATGAAAGGAACGGCAGTGTCTTGATCCCCTTTGTCATCCAGAACGTGGGCCTCTTGACTGGTTTCAGCATCATGCTGGTCCTCACTATGTATTCGGGACAGATCCAGATCGGGTAGGGCCCTGCCAGGAGCCGGCGGGGTTGGCAGTCGGGCCCTTGGCCGCTGATCCCTGGCCCGAGGACTCCTCATCCAGGAAGCACCTCGGAAGAGGCAGTTCTATTAAAAACTGTGACATGGAGACTGTATCCCTGCATTCAAATGTTAGCTGTTTTTAAAATGCTGTATCCTAGGAATAAGCTGCCCTGGTAACCAGCCTCTAGGTAGTGCCTCTCCCCCTTTCCTCTTCTTTCTCAGAGTGATTCTGGAACTGAATGCAGCTTAAAAGACAAGACTAACTTTTTTCTCTGGTTGCCCTGGCCTCTTTCTCTTCCAACCAGCACTGAGACCTTTTGAATCCTTTGCCCGACAATGCAAAAAGATAGCCAGGGCTCACAACTTGGCTAGAAATATCAGGAGGTGAATCTATAGTTTGGGGCCCACAAATCTAAATGTGTTTCCTCGGCCTCAAGGTGACCCATTTTTAAGCGAATCCGCCTATTTTTACAGAAAAGGTATAGAAGACAGGAATCCCTCTTATTCTTTCAAAATCTGTTCAGTTGCCTATTCTTTCAAAGAGAACTGAAAGCTGGAAACAGATGAGAAGGGCGGGAGGGAGAGGCAAGGATCACCCTGAGATGGGGGTGTGTGTCTTGTCAGGATGGTTACCTGTTCCCTCTGGGATGCTTGGCACCGGTTCTGCACCTGGTGTTTCGTGGCCGTCCAGGTGAGCCAGCAGGTAGGTTCTGTTGCCTGAACCTCCCCTCCTTTTGGATGAACACTGGCAGACTGGAGGGCAGAGAAGAGAGACCTGTGAGAAATCCGTTGGCTTTGCTGTGATTTCCACCCCCATCTCCTGGGAGACTCCCTGACACTGGCAGACTGGAGGGCAGAGAAGAGAGACCTGTGAGAAATCCGTTGGCTTTGCTGTGATTTCCACCCCCATCTCCTGGGAGACTCCCTGGAAGCACATTCTAAGCACATTGACGGTGCCCATGTCAGAGGGCAGACTGCACAGATTTACCTCCCTGGTCAACAGTTGTGCTGACAGGTGGCAAGCTGACCTACAGAATTGGAGTGCAGCTTGTGGTCTTCTTGACAAGGGTAATCAGAAACGGAATCAGCGCAGGCAACATTTAGGGTTTACTGATTCCATAAGTAACAGTGATAGAACTCTGAGATGGAAGATCCAGAGCTTGGATGGGGGCATCCCTGGGGTTTGCAGAATAGAGGACCCATGGGTTCTGCTGCACCATCTGGGGTTCCCCCTTTCTCCCTCACCCCAAACAAGCAAGGGCGAATCCTGTATTGAACTGAATAGGAATTGCTCTAACTCTCTTCAGAAAAACGGATTGATAGACTTGTGTGTGAGACCGTAGGCCAGCCGCCGGCCCTGTGGAGCCCTCTCCTCAGAGCTCTGGCTTCGAGGGGAGCTAATCTCCAGGTTCACTAGGTGAATTGCTTTATTATTATCATATTGATAATGTGAGATTCTTTAGCCACTCTGGGGAGCCGACCTCTCCAGAAGCCTTCCTCAGTGGTGCCCACAGTCGCAGCCCAGGGGCTGTGTTCGCAAACCGACTTGCGCATGTGGCTGACGAGTCCTGGTCCGTCACCACCACCCGTTAGTTTTTCCGTTCGGACAGGAAAACTTTCCATTCTACGGTAGTTAAAAGCAGCATCTACTCTGGCTTTTTTCCCCTCCCCGCCTCCCCCCACCCCTTGGGAAACATCCATCAAACCAGGACTATTCTTGAAAAGAACATGAGTGGGAAAACCGCCGGTGATGCTTTATACATTTTTCTCATCTTGCCTATTGACTTTGATAGATTTGAGAATGGGCAGAAGAAGGAGGAAAACTCAGTTCTCACGATTCTAGGTGAACTATCAGGACAGACTCCTGGTAGGATTATGGTCCAGATTTTACCAAAGAACCAATTCCTTGAATGTTGGGATCTAACTTTTTATATTGTCATTATTATTGTCATTGTTACTGTTTTAAAACGATTCTTTGTCTTTTCTGTTTGATTTCCCTCAAACTGCTTTCAGGAGCTAGCAGGAAATAACTCAAACCTTAGGACTTCAGAAGATTTTGCTTCCCTTAATTCACATGGATGTATTAAATTTATAATTTTAGCATCCCCTATAGATCTGTCATTCATTACAAATATTCTTGGAGTAGAATCCTAAGTAAGAGTTAGTGGGTTTCTAGTTTTAGGAGAAGAGCTCAAAAATGTAACCTTGAGCAAATTAAAAACTAAAATATGAAGTAGCAGGGTGCCTTCCCTTCTCATGCACACCTATATTAAGAGCTAACTTTCCTTTCACAGACAGCTGCCTCAAAGGGAAATTCTCTTCAAACTAATTGGTCCAGAGGCCACTCCTAGTTTGAGCTTAGGGGTGGAGACACTGAAATCGTGCAACTGATTATGTGTTGCCATTGGCAACAGATTTTCCTCAATTGAAAATGTGGCCATTTCTTTTTGAAGTGTTGGATTTGCTGTTTTAAGCATTTGTACATATTAGAAGTCTGAGGAGCATCGAGTTCTGAGGACCTTTTTCACCTCTGGCATTAGCATCTTCACCCTCCCTTTCCCTGCGTGGACCGGCTCCCATTAAGGATAACAAGGAAAGTATGTGTCACGTGCAGGAGCAGTGACCCAGGAGCAGGGGTTCTGCTGCTTCTCACCCTCACCCTGGCTTGCAGGTTGCCTTCTGTCCTTGCCCAAAGGTTTTTTGTGTCTAGTGTCAACTTAGGTTTTTCCTTCATTGGTCCTTCACCCTGGGTTTTAAAAAGAAGGCTTCTCTGTTCGAGTATCCTAAGACCTGTTTTTAGTAAGTCCTCTTCCACATGGTAATGTGGAGATGGTAATATGGTAATATGTTGGAAATCTGCTTAAAAAACGAAAAGTTGGGCTTCCCTGGTGGTGCAGTGGTTGGGAGTCCGCCTGCCGATGCAGGGGGCACCGGTTCGTGCCCCGGACCGGGAGGATCCCGCGTGCCGTGGAGCGGCTGGGCCCGTGAGCCATGGCCGCTGAGCCTGCGCGTCCGGAGCCTGTGCTCTGCAACAGGAGAGGCCACAACAGTGAGAAGCCTGCGTACCGCAAAAAAAAAAAAACAAAAACGAAAAGTTGTCTGATTTTTGCAAAAGAGAGAGGTTAGATTTTTATTATTCATATTTCCTTTTACAGTTCTGCAATTCCATCACAGTATTTTTTAAATAACTCAGGTGTTATGAGGATAAATTAGAAAAAAAATAACTTAAGTTATGTGGACTGTAAATGTTTTTATTTGTAAGATTCTATAAATAAAGCTATATTCTGTAACTGTTGAATCGCAAGTGTCATCTTTGGCAATAACGTGGGTGTAATGAAGACTGTTGAACACAAGATGGGGGTGGTGTCTTGCTAACTTATAAAGCTTCATTTTACTGGTCCAGCTTACATTTGGAGAGGGGTTTTCGAAGGAACCTCAGATAGCATAACATACTCACTTTAAATGATTAACTTATCTTTTAATGGGACCCATGACTTCATCAGTGATGGAAGAACTGTGGTGTTTCCTAAGAAGAGCTTTCTGTCACACTGTTTTCACTTGTATAAATCCATGATTTGAAACTTGGAGAATACACTTGGTTCATTTAAACCACATCTCCTGTATGTCTTACAGGGAAACGTTCTGTCCTGAGACTTAAAATAAAATTCTAAACCTGTTCTTATTCCAATTCATTCAAAGGGCCAGGGATCTGTTGTTTATCTTCGACCACAAAAACGAGCAGTGGGGTAAAAGAATTGATGCCATTTTATTAATACATACATTAGAGATTCCCAAATGCCTGTTGCTCAGTCCTCCCATTTTTTAAAAACTCAAGAATAATATATTAAGTGGCTCCTGTTGGTATTTTAAATTTCATTAAGTAGCTACTATATTGGACTAATGTCTGCTACAGCTGTTCAAAATGATAGTCACTCTGTCCTTCGGCTTGTGCCACCTCTGGAGAGCCTACCCAGGCTGGGATTAGTGCCTCCCTGTTCACACCTCAGTTACTGGACTTGCACTGTAATCTCTCTTGTTCTTTATAAACTGAGTTCCTTCTGGGTAGAGGCTATATACCTGGTTTATTTCTGTGATACCAGCACCTGCCACACAGAAGGAATGAATGAAAAGACGAAATGAAATGCCTGCAAGTTCTGTGTTGATGGATGGGCTCCTTTTCCACTGGCAGCAAGTTCCTGTTGTGTTTTCCTGTCTTTGGTGCTGGTTTTGCTAACGCCTTGTTTCCTGGTCCTCCTTTATTTAGAAACAGAAATTTGAGAGGTGAATTTGTGGCCAGTATAGAATAGAGCTAAGCAGAGTAAACAGGTCACTAAGAAGATTAAAACTTTGATCTCAGCCATCTCTTTGTGATACTGCTAACCAGCTAAGCCATTCAGGACAGTTTTGGTAGAAGGTGAATGCCCTTCTCCTATCAAGTTGCTTCTGCACACTCTTCTTTACCATTCAGTGATGCTGAGATCTGATTTGAGCAAAATCCATTTCGAGAAATAATGAAGACACCAAACGTGGACACAGGGTTTTTGATTTGTGGGAAAACAAAATGCTCATCTATTTTAAAGATATTTGTACTCTTAATGATCTAGTGAGATACATGTGGACTTCTCAAGGATGATAGGTTTGAATCCCAGCAGAAGTGAATCCTTTTCATCCTTCTGAAATAAACTGAATTATAGTCCATTTAAATATTTTTTAAAAATAGTGGTTGGAAAAGAGCCATAGGTCCTTATCATCTCACAGCTAAGTGTGTTTAGATCTGTCAGCCAAAAAAATATTTTTCTTTTCAACATCACAATTCTTGCCAGATGTTTCTTCAAGGTTTATTTTAAATGAAGGAAGGGAGTTAGACTACCCTTTCTGTATAACAGCAATCTTTGACCCTAGCAGTGGATGGGATCCCGAAACAGTGGCATCAGTTATAATTGAGGAATAACCTAAAAGTGTTCTAATTCTGGAAATCAGAAGCCAAGAAGTAGTTCTTTCTTCCATGAGGCTCTGGATTTCTTTTTTTTTTTTTCTCCATCTGTGGTTTGCTTCTCTATTGAGGTTGCCTAAGAATGAACTTAGGCAATAATCCACAGGTTGTCA